GAATGGCCAACAGCAAATCGAAAACTAACAAAGACCGAATACCCAAACCACAAACGGTCAGTTTAAGCGTGACATCGCAAAAGACAGAGCTCCTTGAAAGTTGAACCCACCTCCTCCCCAAAGCCTCCGCTAACAATTATGTACATTGGACGATTTACCATAGCTGATATATATATAGAGGGAGGAACGTTATATCTTAATTAGTGATGGTCGTAAGCCGTATCTACAGGTGCTGGCGGTAATTTGCCTCCACCCTTTTCTGAGCGTAAATATTTGGAATTTTAATGCAATGTATTAATAAATATCGTTTTGTTTAACAGAAATAAAGCGGCTAGGAGAACCATTACTCCTAGCCAAAATTATCCCAAAACGGCGTAAAATCTAATGTGTCTTTATTGATGCTCAGAAAACTGAGCTGCGGAAAGGGTATGCAAAATTCATGGCTGGCAATATATCTATGCGTAAATAAATCACATTACAAAAATATATATATATATATATATATATATATATACACCCATTTGCAAAAACGTTGGCCGCAGATAGATTGATAGATAGATACTCGAAATCTAATTAGAATTGCATATGATGTGTAATATGATTGAAATCCCATGCAAATGTGATTATATGCATTTCTATATATATATATATATATATATATATATATATATATATATATATATATATAATTATTCCATATTTATGAATATATAAATAATATGAAAATATGTTTATAAGTTTCTTCAAAATTTTGCGAAATGACAGTTATGCAGGTTTAAAAATACAAATATTTGTATCGACCAATCAAGAGCTTAGTAGTTTACTCTTGCGCATTTGCATAACGTAGAAGACCGTCCATGGCGTGAGGCCATTGCATAATTGCGGACAACATTGATATCGCCTTTGCACATCCTGGGTGTAATAATCCGAGCGGAATTAGTACCCTCGCACGGTGCTCCGCACCGGCTCGGGGATTACAAGGAAGCCATCTTTGATTGCGAAATCCTAGCATTATCCAATCAATCCTAGCATAAAGGTATATTTTATTGAATTTTTCAGATATGAGTGGCATGGCGGCCGTTGTATGTTCACACTTCAATCATTATTCAATTCTTTAGAATTTTTTTTTTCATAGTATATGTCTGGACATGAAGTGTCGAAGTCATCTCAAATAATATTATAATAATTTACAGTTTATTTCAGCTGTTCTTTCATCGTAAAATTCGGAAGGCGACGAACTTCCCAACGAACTTGCGAAACGAATTCGGAATCTCGCAAATTCGATTTACATGCAATTTCACAGTAGTAGACGAGTTATCTCCGTGGATGTTAACGTTTAAGGAAAAGTTGGATGGAGAAACTAATTCAAAATTGTTTTAAACGTTAAGCTTGAAGCGAACGGGTTTAGCCCAAGAAACTATAGTTTGAATAAAGCAAATATTATTGCAACCAACGAAATTTTGTTTTTAAACATGACAGTTATTTGTTCTTTTGTCAAAAATTTCTTCACAGAGAACGTCTAGTTTGTATAAAAGTAAACTTTTTTGTGCCCAACGAGGATAATTTGAAGGGGCACATATTCATAAATTATATTCATGTTGTACAAGATTAATTTATTTTCAAATCCATTGTCTTTACAGTCTGTTAAAATGAATATATGAATATGCATGCATGTGTACGTACGTACGTGCTAAAAACGCGACAGTGGAAAGCAGCCTTAAGGCTGTTTTCCACTACGCGTTTTTCATACGCACGTACACGCACGTAAAAGTCGAAATCCTTATACACACCTGTATAAATCGAAGGAATTTAGTTTTCTGCATATTTTAGTATGCATTAGTCGAACTAGATGTTAAATAATAAAAATTTAAAAGCATTTAAAATTTTCCGTACGTGTACATCCGTATAAAAAAACGTGTAAGTGGAAAGCAGCCTTTTTTATACGCACGCACACAAACGGAGAATTTTAAATGCTTTTAAATTTTAGTATTTAACATCTAGGTCGACTAATGCATACTCAAAATATGCTGAAAACTAAGTTCCTTCGATTTATTCACTTAGTTTTCTCAAAGGTAACATGTATAAGGATTTAGGCTTTATATACGTGCGTGTATATATGTACACGCACGTAAAAGTTTAAGTGCTTTTAATTTTTTATTATTCAACATCTAGGTCAGCAAATGCATACTAAGCTACGCGGAAAACTAAGTACTTTCGATTTATTAATTTCGTTTTTTTAAAGATAACTTATAGGCTATAAGCATTTAGACTTTTACGTGCGTGTACGTGCGTATGAAAAACGCGACAATGGAAAACAGCCCTTAAGTGCAAAGCAGCCTTAATCAGCGTAACGCGTGGTAATGGCGTAACCGCGTAATGACAAACAGCGTAATTATAATGGCGCGATGTTCGCGAATTGAAATGCTAAACTGTTGGTACGAAATTGTTATATTAAATTATTATATATTGAAATAAACATATTACCAACAAGCAAATTATAGGTACTAACTTGTCAATTGAGTTACAGGTTAACCTAACATATTATATATATACTATAGCCTATATATATATATATATATATTAATATATATATATATATATATATATATATATTATATAATATACTATTATATATATATATATATATATATATGTATAGGTTATCACATGAGGGGCGAGGTGATATCAGTTTTATCGCTTGAGGGACGATATCATAAATGTCACGAGTGAGCGCAGCGAACGAGGGTCATTTATGATATCGTCCTGAAAGCGATAAAACTGATATCACCTCGTCCCGATTGTGATAACCTGTTTATCACATACTTCCTTTTTTTCTATAAAGCAATCGACATCGACTGAAACAAACCTCGAACTGCTCGAGTCAGCCATCTTTGTTTTGACAGCGGCAAATGCAGCGGGACAAAAAGCGATATCAGTGACAAAAAGCGATATCAGTGACAAAAAGCGATATCAGTGACGATATCGTTTTTATGTCACCCTGTTATCGCCCTGATAAAGGCACAAGTATGTGATAAATATATATATATATATATATATATATATATATATATATATATATATATATATATATATATATATATATACACCCATTTGCAAAAACATTGGCCGCAGATAGATAGATAGATAGATACTCGAAGTCTCATTAGAATTGCATATGATTAGATTTGCATGGAATTTCAATCATATTACACAACATATGCAATTCTAATTAGATTTCGAGTATCTATCTATCTATCTATCTGCGGCCAACGTTTTTGCAAATAGGTGTATATATATATATATTTTCAAGTAGAGTTTGAAATTTCTTCATTTTATACTTCATATATATACTATATCGTATATATAAGCAATTTTTGTATACTTTTCACGCAAGTGGTTAACTAATTTAGTTACACTCTTTCGGCCATAATACAAAAGTATAAAAAATTTTCCAATTTCTCTTGGCTATATCTTCGGTACTTTACATCATTTTGCAGCAAAACTATTTTGGCAATTTTACTAAGTTTAGATTAAAAGTTAGTCTATTGTGCAAGTGGTCTATTCGCGAGTTTGAGACCATTACGTATTCGCTGCTTGTCATTGCGCGTTTACGCCGCCATTACGCTGATTACCAACACCTGGCGCACGCCCATGAAAATTAAAACATCAGTCATATCAGAAGTTCTATGAAGTATACAAACTATTGGCTTTTCTAACTATTTCAATTTCCATGAGATGTGTCCATGCTATGTTTTATTTTAACGCGCTTTTGAACTGCATAAAGGTGTTTTATTGAGTTTTTCACATATTAGTGACATTAATTGTGGCCGTTTGTGTGCTTACGAAACCTATTGGCAGCTCGTCAATATCTTATGAAGTTAGCTATATATATTTGCATGTGCCCATCAAATAACCCAAACAATAAGTGAGGCAAATAGCGAGGAATCACCTGCGATTTTCTGTCTATACCCCAGGATTGTTAATAAATTATTTATTGTTGCTTCCTGAACAGTGAAATTTCAAAGATCTGAAGCTGACTATTATACAGGTATGTTGCTGTAAGAAGATATGTAATAATTCTTAGTACTATCCGAATCTAACACTTTGTATAATTATATATGTACATGCGACGGCGGATGGCAAGAAAAAAAATTGGCCTAGACACCGGGGCGAATTTTAAGCATCATGAGTATATCAATTCCAACTTAAAATAAAATCGATTATTACTAAGCTGTACCAGTAGCAAGATAAAGTCGAAACAAAAAGTTTTAAAGCGCTTCATGCATGAGATCTTCGCGGACAATTTGTTGCAATGCTCAAATATATAAATTATGCAGATTAATTGTTTTATCTACGTGCCCGACATAGGTTTTATGCAGTTGATCAACTATTTAATTGTTATTTGTGTTAACCTGAAGGCTGAATGCGTATCAAACCCACCATTGAGCGCTTAACATCTAACTCGCCAGCAGGGCGTCTAGAAGCATGGCAGATGCATCTGACGTGTATGTATTCGTCTTAGGACGCTTTCTACTAGATTGAATTTTTCGATCGAACGATAATCTTTTCAGTTGTGACCAGTGAATCTTTAAAGGTTCCATCGAAAAATAGACGCAATTGTTTGGTACGTATATGCGTTTAGGATACTTGGAGTACCCCGTGCTGCTAAGCCTGGCGCACACCAGTGGACTTAGCACGGACACATATCGCTCGTAAAAATTGTCTTTTACGCAGATTTTTGGTCTGCAAATAAATGGATAACATCTTCATACAAACTGTAACATAACTAACTTGAACTTAGCTAAAAAGAACACATGGCTAAACGAAATCAACACAAACCAATCATATTTGGCAACTGTAAAGCAGTTTTACAAACGGTTAATGGTTACTTGCTGCAAACCTTGTCTTGGTGAAGAAGAGGAAGAGACTGAATTTTAAACGAGGATGGACCGAGTTTTTTACAGACAGAAAGCAATGGGAAAGAGAATGTTTAATTAATGATACTAGAAAAATGTCACCCTGCTGTAATGAGACAGCTGACTATCTTGAAGAGAGATATGAAAAATACATCAAGTCGTGTCCCATTTTGGGTATGTTCTTATGACAATCAGTATCTATTTTTCAGCTTTCTGAAAAGTGCGTATTTGCTGTTTTATTCAGGGCGCATAAATGACTTAATTCCAAATGTAATGAATCGAATGACTGTAATTCTAAATGCAAACCACTCAAACCAGTCGGGGAACCTGTGTTATGTGGGATAGTCTATTTGGCGCGGGTCGCGGGTCAACCAAAACTGGCGCGTTGTTCCGGTTGGCACAGGTGTATTTTTCCGGTTGGCACGGGTATCTTTCTCCGGTATAAACAAATACTCGCTCGTCCTGTTCTCCACGATTTCTTTTCTGCAACCTCTGCACCTTGGGATTGGTCCCTTTTTCTTTTCCTTTCGTTTTAATGTCCATTTGCCATTACGCCTATCATTTTGCAGAAGATTCATTACAAACTCTTGTCTGCTTTGCTGTCTTTCACCTTCTACATGTTTTAAATTGTGATGAAAATGGTTTATATATATTGCTGCAAATTTTACACTTTACCGTACCCGAGCAATCACTGAATACACATACACCATCAAACGCAATAAGAGAACGAAAAAACACGCCATCAAAATACCCCCAATCAAATAGTTGAATTACACGGGTACCGTAAACTGTAAAGTACCCATATTGCTTTTAAAATTGAAAAATTTAAATTGAGTTTGTCGAGCAGCAATTTACCAGTTCATTGACACAAATCATCCCAAACCATTTAACACAATTTAATACCTACCTTAAACTCGGAAATATTCCAGCAATCGAATTCAAACGAATTAAATTTTCCTCATAAATTCTTATACTGTAAAATACAGCGGCAGACCGCGAGCGAGAACAGAACGAGCGAGTATTTGTTTATACCGGAGAAAGATACCCGTGCCAACCGGAGAAATACACCTGTTCCAACCGGAACAATTACCCACGCCAACCGGAATAATCATCCGCGCTAATTTTGTTCGACCCGCGCCAATTTTGTTCGACCCGCGCCAGTTTTGGTTGACCCGCGACCCGCGCCAAATCGACTATCCCGTGTAATGTGCTATAATTATGCTGTGTCATATGCTTGGCTAAATGTCAGGCGCCCCCAATGGCTTAAGGAGACATCTGCAATGTGCAGGTGTCTTTCTGAACCGTTCATTCGCTCTATTTGCAGCAAATATTGAACATCACTAAGGAGGTTATTCTAAGCTGGGGTAATTGAGAGCGTGTTTTACTCACAAAAGTATGATAGCATGATTGCTTTAACATGATCAGAAATTTGCGCAATACCGATACATGCATGTGCACCTAGCAGATTTTAACGCAATATGATAAATGGTAATGGTCTTTATTACACATATTAATAGCAGTTACGCTGAATTACTGATGTCTTTACACTTTTAAGAATTATGCATTATTTAATGTTAAAAAATATGCCTAGAGCATGAAACATTATACTAATAAAACTTTATAACTATTAAGATATACATATATACAATCGAGTGATCATCAAAATATTAATAAACTTAATTCTAGGAAGTATATAAATCAAATAATTCTGGGAAGTACAAATTGAGTTCATAATATTTACAAGTTAAACTACCATTATATCTATTCATTTCATATACTAGTGGACTACGACTGAATCTTTCAGTTTTATACATAGAAATAATAGACATAGAATGCGTATTGATACCTCTTCCCTTATAAAAAATTATCTCCAAAGATGGCGGATTTATAAGGGCATTTTTCCTCGTTTCAGACTCCTGCGAGGAGTTTTTTGTGCGCGGTCGCGACGACCGAGATATGAATATAAGTGAGTTTGAGAGAAAAGCTTGTTTTTGTTTTTGTTTTTGTCACGCACTGGAGCATTAACTGGTTTTGGTTTTGACTACATTGTTTCATGAATTGACTGATGGAGTCTGATAGCTGTTCCTAGCTCTCGATCAATCTTGTTTCAAGCGTACATAAGTCATAATACGGAAAAAATGGAATCCTGCTTCGCTGTCGACATTAAAACGCAGTATTTATTGTGTGAAAAATGAAATTTACCTACACAAAGACAAGGCATAACTTTTAAAGTGCGGAGTACATGATTAACACTTGATCTCCTCTGGTACTGAGGTACGCTAAATGATGTTTTTGATTGTATTAAACTCGTTTTATGTGTTATTATTTATTCACAAAATGCACGAGAAGCGAAATAAAATATAGTCATAGTCATTTCTCTTCGCACGGCTTCAACTATTTATTCAGAAAGCGCTCATTTTTACGTGGAAACCTGTTAAAAATCTATACGGAGTGATATGTTTTTCATAGCTAGGCAAAAAGGTTTTTAACCATTTATCGTTGCATCAAAGCAAGGTCATGGGACAAATAATCAAGTTCAAGCCAAAAAACAATTTATGTAAACAAACAATTGCATGTAAAAAAACTCAAAAAAACAAAGCACAGTTGAAAAATTCGCTGGACAATAGTAATTGACAACCTATTACAATAAACATTATTCTCTACTAACTATATTTTCTACATAACAATGAGTATATAATATGGCGATAGGCCTGTAGTTTGTTTTTGTGTGCTCAACGGTGAAAATCGACTCTTTCTCGATTATCGATTATCGCTTTTTCTGTGTTTTTTTTCTGTTCTGCAACTTAATGCCGAACTGGGTTTGGCATTTTTGCCTCTGTGTGCTAATAATTGACTGTAAAAATTAATATGCCTTTACCCGAAATTTAAGTTTTGAATTAAAAGTTTGTTTGAAAGATTTCTCACTCCTCGCGAGATTCAAAATGGCGCATTTATAAGGGCACAGCATGAAAAAAATATGGGACACGTATTCGTGATAAGTACGCATTCTATGTCTATTATTTCTATGGTTTTATATGAGAAATTGTAGAGTTTCTCTGGGTTTGTTCTAGTTTCCTTGCCTCTCACCTCCGATTATATTACTCTGGGTGAATCAGCTTAAATAAAAGAGAGTCTGAAGAGTGCCAAGACAATTTTTTCACCTGTTTTGCCCCCATACAAAACATGTATTCTCCGCTATTTATTTCCATACCAACTCTCCTGACGAAGGCCCTCAGGTCGAAACGTCGAGAAGTGTTTTGTCTATTTTAGGCAGTTGTTATACCAAATTTGATACTAAGTTGTTTCTGTGGTTGTTTGAAGACGCTGCCACGCTGCTCCCTGGTTATCTTGGAACTTATTTGAATATGTTTGATAAAATTAACTGAATTGAATAATTTTAATTTATTAGAAGGAAAATGCAAATGCAATTTCCAAGATCAAAGAGTAGATGGTTTTGCCAACGGTGACATGTCCAACCCAGTATCATGGACGAAGCCAAATATTTCATGCACACATAAATATCAACTTCATCAACTCAAAGTGGTACCAAACCTAAGATCACCACACAGCTTCTCTGAGGGTTTAAATAAAATCGAGTATGTATTTAAACTTTATGGAGGACTGGAGAAATCGTGTATAATTATGGTCTATATTCACACCTGTGATTCTAAAAGTGAGTATTACTTGTCTAATTCTCTCCTATCATTCCTAATTACCCATAGGGATCAAACGTCTATTTAATAAACATGCAACGACAAGAAAAAGAGTTTATGCAATTTTCCTTTGCATCATGTAATGCGATTATAATTTTCAGATATGTTAATTTTTAAAAGGTGTTCGAAATGCAAAGAAAACGACAAAACGTTAGAAGCTCGCAAGAAATGTTCGTAGCTATATTTCAACTTTAGAATTGTATTGCAAAGTGCAAGGGAAATTGCTTAGTGTAAAACCGCGCCTTAAATGGAAAGATATGATCAAATTCTCGATCGTATTTTTTTAAATAACGATTTTGTTGTTTGTTCACCATGTATACCATCCCTGTCTCAATTTCGTGTAAAGTTTGTATTTTAATAATTTTAATTTGTTTTAGAAAACAAAAAGGGGAGCAAGAAAAAGATCCAAACAAAAGGTAGAAAACTATATCGCAAATTCTTGAATTATATATTAATATGTATATTATATTGCATGAATCAGTTAGTATTACTGTTTGAATGCCATATATGGCCGTTGCAGTTTGATGTCATATGATAAATTATTTTAATTGTAAACAAAAAAATAATAGTCAATAGCAATTCATGCATTTAGATTCTGTCTGATGAATTACTGTAACCGCGTGTCCAATCTTCTTATTACACTATTGCGGTCTGTGCTGATTGCAAATAACATAGTTTGCCTAATTTTGAAGACGCCCGACCTGAATCATTTAAATAACGTTGCTGACACCAAGAGAATTCGACATTGAATTAAACAATACATTGACTTTGGAAAAACGTATAGATGTATTATCTGGTTGAAATAATTTAATTGCAGAGCCTTCTACAACCTAAACTGGTGTGCAGTTTTAACCTTCATAGCGTACAGTTACTCTAGAATAGTTGGCATTATTATTATATATACAATCTCCGTTTTGATTGGTTAGGCACCTGCAAAATTAATAATTCCTGACTTCAAATTTAAAATAATTCCTGTTTTTCGGAATTGTGACGTCATATCTACCAATAACAGTTTCTAAGTTTCTACAATAGTTAACGCCAGCAATTTAATAGCCGGTTTAAAGAAAACAATGGTAATAAAATAATTTATTTATTAGCTAATTAAAAATATACTTCATCACTATTTTAGTAAGTTGAGATAAACAATAAAGTAATTATTGTATTCGTTTTTCCCGTGATAATGATTATCTTCTTCTGTCTTATACCACACGTATTCTTCCCGTTATTGAATATGCCTGTGAGGCTTTTCCCTGATTCACTTCCAAAATACTTATCTGACGAACTGGAAGGACATGGAAAACGGCCTGCAGAACTGATTATTTTGCCAAAAATCCGATATAAGGATGCTTCGGAAGATGTAGTTCTGACATTATGTCTCCATACAGTTAATGTTCATTGTAAACTTTTGGAAACTATAGGTCACGATTTTGAGAAAAAAAAAACACCATCCATTGCCTCCAGTAAAAGTCCTCAGAAGTAGGTTTGAGAGAGAAAACGAAGTTTTAAATTTCCAATATTTTAAAAGATTTAAAACCGATTTCATTATTTGTGCAGGGGGTGGTAAAAAAGGGCGCCTCAAGGAAACGTGGCACATCTGTATCTTTTTACTATAAATGAGGGTAGCGCCAATTAATTTTATTTATTTTTGCATATTTCTCCAGTTAGCTTTAGGAGCAATGGAAATTATGCATGTAATTGTTTGCCAAACAACTGTCTGATTTACGGCAAATTCTTCAGAAATGCGACCTATATTATTTGAACAATGAAATAGCTAATTAAAAGAGTTTGAATCATGTGTAAACTTGTGCTTTAACGACACTAAATGACATGATACAGTCCTCTGAACTTTGAATGTTTGCGTGGTAATGAAAATGTACTCAAACCCCGCCTATAATAAAGAGTTATACCTACAAATCTTGCGATATATCTACAATTTATCACCTATTAAACTGCCCGCACCCAATGAAATTTCAAAAACTAGTTAGAGTTTTCTAGGCCAGTTTGTATTGAATTAGTTATATGAATTATCTTTTTGGATATTATTATTTATACATAATGTAAAATATATCTTGGGTTTTAGACTAGAAAACATTTCGTGTAGTTTTTCTCACACCCTATTAATAGCTCTCTAACTATTAGCCTCTACATCACAATTTTGACTCACAAAGATATAAAACTGAATATAGACAAACGGGCATGATTTGTTTAGCGCTTTCTGATATAATCCAAACAACTGAACTGAGCTCATACTTTTTAAGGGTGGCTGCTTTTCACCATGCACCCCTGTAATTCGTGTAAATTTTTAAGTCTATCCAGCTTATTTTACTGTATAATAAAAAAGTGGGGGTTTTTAAAAGTCCCGCATGAACGATGAATTAAAAAATTATCGCTTATGTGCCAATATGATCGCTTTCATAATCATACGGATTGGCCAATAAAACACCCTAATTAGATAATAAACTCAATTCATTGTACTCTATACAGCGAAGCGCTAACACGCCTTTGCTTATTGCCCCATTAAATTGACTTTGCATGACAACGGACGAGCCTATAACGCGATAATGAATCAATGTATGCTATGCAGTTTCAGATTGCAAAAAAGATATTCTGGTTCTTTGGGACAATTCCAATTTTGCTGACTTTGACCCAAATATAAAAGAATTCCTAAAGAAGTTTATTAAAAATAAAAAACTGGACGTGAAGAGACGAGGAACTCGTCTTGGTTTTATCAGCTTCTCGAACTCCAAAGGAACTAGAGAAGTACTGAAAATTGGAAAAATTAAGAAAAGGAAGAAATTGATAAGGTGGCTGGATAGCTCTCCCTATGATTGGAAAAGCAATACGACAAAAAAGAGAAACGCATATAAGCTTGCCATCAATGTAAGCTAATCGTATTTAAAATTTTCTATAATGACTTTAGTTCTTGCCACTCAGTGCATGACCTTGCAATAGCGTTTTTATTAAGCCATTTTCAATTTAAAATTAAACCTCTTAATTTATCCTGCCTAATGCCTGTTTTCCACTAGCAATATTTTTCGCGCGAAGCGAATTTATTCCTTTGTATTTGAGCAATTCGTTCCAGATAGTTGCAGTTGAGAGCTCTGAAACAAAAGTAAAATGTCGTTTCACACGAAAATTATCGCTAATGGAAAACCGGCTTAAAGGTGACTAATGTCACTATTGATCATTACTAAGATAACAAAAAAATTCGAATGATAACAAAAAAATTTGAATTCTTTTTCATAGGCGTTGACCAACAGCAGGCGCAAAAATTTCCGTCCTAACGTCGACGATGTCATTTTGTTGTTAATGTTAAACAATGGGACGGAGAATGGCCTAAAAATTCAAGCTAGCGTTTTTGATAAATTAATGACACAGAAGAACAAAACAGTCACCATTGTCGGCTTATCTGGTGATATTGTAAGTCAGCTCAAAGACTGGAAACTTTACCTTAAACGCTGGTCGTTACAACAGCTAGTGGCGGAATCAGTAATAACGAGCAGCTTGGACGGAGTGGTAAATAAAACCGTCGATGCTTTATGCGCTTCATTTATAGGTAAGTCCTGGTGACGATTTTGGTTATGTAAAAACAAACTACGTAGCACCTGATTTCACATTTATCCCACATTGCTTTAACTTTTGCATATGGATTGCCACCAATCATGCAGTTAAAACGAGCGGAAAAAGTTTTTCTTCTTCGAATGAACATTAATCACGTTGGTCCAAATTATTCCGAATAATACAAATATAACTAACATATTTCAAACAAAATACAATTTCCTGAGCTAACCTGACCTAAACTTATATTATGAAATGACACAAAACTCAAATCAGTTTTATTATATTTTACCGAATATATTATAGGTAATGTTTCCATCATATTCAATACAAAAATAATCATAAAGCTAGTGTAAACATTGCCCTTTCAATTTTGCTGCATTATACCATTTCAGGAATTAAGTAATGGTTTTAAATCCAAGTTTGAAACGATTAAAACAGTACTAAATCTTCAGAGACAAAGGAAAAACCTGGCTCAAATTTTATTTTATTCTGTAATTGCAGTCGACGGCTAAAAGTTTTATAGCTACTTTAATATACTGTAGCCTGGTGTTTTTTTAGATCAAAATTCAAATTACACTTTCAAAAACACTTTTCGAAGTTAAAGCCAACTTAGGTGTAATAGCCTTTCACAGGTTGATGCGTTTGTGTAAAAAACCGAAAATTATACAAAGCTAGGCAAGGCAAGGCGTCTGGCGCGGAAATCTTCAACGATAAATTCATAATTGCCGCCATTTTACCTACCAAATTTCCGCGTGGGGGCCTGGATCATACTTACAAGAAAGGCTTCAGTGTCCGCCATCTCAGCTTCAAACTTCCGACAGAGTGAGCGTCCCAGTCTTATTTGAGTTCACTGTTTCTCTACTTCCAATCATCGGGCAGTATTTTGGTCACATGTATATATATATATATATATATATATATATATATATATATATATATATATATATATATATATATATATATATATATATATATATATGTATATATATGTAATTCTTCATACCGGTCTTATGAATTAGTAATTCATATATTAACCTTGATACAACTCTTCTTATTTAGTATTCATAACTTTGTTACACACATGCCTTAATAATATGCATTAAGCTTACAAGTTACAAACACGGTAAAATACTCGCGACCGATCTGTAGCGGTATCGACACTGGCGAGTGCGTAACACATTTTAACAGATCTGCATGCTTTCTTTTAAGGAAAATAATTACACATTTTTTTAATGTGGTTTTTGCAATCATACTAAAATGATCACCAATTTTCTTTTTCCATCAGGTGGATGTGAATGCATCGGTGTTAAAGAAATTACTGCGTATGCTCAACCAGGTTCACCCACAGGATTAGCCAATTGGACAGTACCGGAAATCACATGTTCTGATTATAAGAGAGGCGAAGTTGATCCACCTGGTGTCACGTCTCCTGAGCATTTTCCTCTTGGAAAGAACACAATTACTTATCCGCACTGGTCCAAGCCTGATGGAAAGATTGCTGCGTTTAAGTGTTTTGTCAACATTGACGTTGTTCGTAAGTATTTTATAATAATGTGCTTTTTTTATTTCCAAACATCATGAGTTTTATTAACGCTCCAATGTACGAAGAGTATTATCATTCGCACTTGTCATCTTCGAGCCCCAAGTTCATGTCAACGCGACAGGTAGGTCGGTAGAATGTTTATTTCTGAACTAACCCTAAATCAGTGCAAACTAAAGGTTGGTTCGATAATAAAAACATTAGCAAAATGAACATGCAAAAATTCAGTTATTTTTACTCAGTTTAAAAATACCTGTATTACTAACTATAAATGCAGATTCGTGTTGCTGAAATTAGTCGGTATTCCTGGATTTAAGCCGACAAAATTAAAATACGTAACATCATTTTTCTGCGTGATTAGGCTCGAAGGCCTCGAGGATGATACTTTAAAACTCAACAGTCAAATCTTTGAGCAATTCTTACTTGAATCTCCTACACGTGATCAGTTCTAGTTCCGGCCACGATTATCAACTTCTTCAAGAAACTCAAGAAGGTGCATCTCTAATAGGTTATTTGAGGATTTGTTAAAGCGAAAACCTTTATGTCAAGATCGGTGTAAGAATGTGACGTAATACGATATCTTTCGCTGAAGTTATTATCGCCATATTACCATTTGTCAGTTTCTTGCTATTCGCGATATTTCTGGCAAAACAAGCCTGTTTATTTTCGTAAAATGTGTTAAAAAGTTTTTATTTATACGCGAGGTAGTAGGATATTTACAATTTTTGACTAATGTTCTTAATGTTCGCTTCTTTACCAACTTTTGCTTCAAGTCTTCGTCGTTTAAGTCGTGTCTTCTTAGTCTGTTCTTGTCTTGTCGAGCTTCTTCAACGTCTCATATGGTTTTTACTCCGTTGGTCCACTGAAGGTTCGGGTGCAGTGCGCCTCCTTTTATAATGAAATTTGAGGGGATCTTGAAGACGCCCTGCAAAGTGGTGTGATTCACTCTATCCAATCAGCGTTGTAGGTTACAAGTGTGGGTTGGCGTTTATAGAAGCTCGGTCCAGCTCTCGTATTGGAGTTGGTCTTTTGCTCAATCGATCATTGTTAAAACTTGCTCCCAACTTAAAATATTTATCTTCAACTTTAAGTACAATTACAAAACTATTACTCTGTAAACCATATCTCAAACTTATAAACTATTTTACTAATTGTTTTTATGGAATTAAGCTTTTCGTGACGTAGGGCTTTAAATGTTTAACCAAGCAAAATATAACAAAGAAATGATTGACACAAACTAGTATCCGCCTAGAACTTATGTTCTTGAGTCGTGACACTTGAACCTTGTACGACAGTACTATTGTTTGGGAGGAAATCCCATGGGCTTTCACCTCATGACTGGAAAAGTAATTTTGTGATTCCGAAGGACCATAATAATATTTACTTTACACGTCATTTTAAATGTGACATGTTGTCCAAGTAATTTGCCATAACCAAGGACTAGGTCTAGGAGTATAGAATAAAGTTGAGGGTGGTGTTTCAATTTATTGTTTTATTTTTCAGTCGCGAAACTTTAGAAAACGTAATTGCTTGTAGCGGGAGCATTGAAACAATTTCGGTGTGCGTTTGCCGTTTTACCCCAGTATATTGTGTTTAAAAATGCTAAAATATCTTCAAAAGTTGACATCATGTTGTGTTTTGTTATACGTCATTTTGGGCAATAGTTTTCCTTATCTTTCTTGCAAACTAAGAAAATTGCAAATCCTTATGCACTCCTCGAGTGCCCATTTTTTTGAAAAGAACTTAAAGATTTAAAATTAGTAATATATTTGATGCTCCACAACAACTTTGATTTCTCCATCTAGCCTGTGAGTGTCCATGTTCGCCAACCGTGAAAAAAGTTGCAGAAGATGGGAAATTGGCTCTCGTCAGTTGGCGAGAACCCAAACCCAATTGTCCCACCACACCAAGCTCAGGCAACATAAACACAACCAGTGCATGGTTCTCTGTTGGTAATCACACGCTGGAGTACAACTACACGTACAGCAACAACTACACAACATTTGGTATTGAATGCAATGTGAGAATTGTTGTCACACCTGGTATGTTTCTAGCAAGTAATACCATGCAAGTCTCTTTGGCAGTCTCTCACCTTTTTACAGAGGGGTGGATCTAGTAAATTAATAATGACAATTGAACGAAATGGAGTGCTATATTACTGGCAAAATCAGGACCGCGTAGCACCCTTTCACGAGGAGTGCGATTAATCATTAATCACACTCCTCTTAACCAATAAAATTGCAGTATTTGCCCCTGATTACAGAAGGTATATAATTATACAATAACCATCTAGGCCACCCCCTGCTCTTACAGTAAAACCATTTACCTTTCTCGTAAATACATCGGTTTGCGGTTTAAATGCACGTAATATCAATCTTTCTCAATCAGGATTTATCTTCTCCTCCCCACACTCTCAAAAATCATGGCTGGCAAAAGTAAACAACGTTTTTTTTAATTGCTTTTCCAAAGCCGTTTTGTTGTAACCTCGCCTAGCGAAATTAAAAAAAACATAAAAGAAATTGCAATGAACAAAATATAGCCGTGTCGAAAACAAATATACAGAATTTTATCATAGATAAATTTATTGACTAATTTATACGTACATATTAATTAAAACGAGCGAAAAAGTTAGAAAATGATATTTCCTGTTGAAGTAATAACCCAGCCGGTGCGCAGCACTGTGGGAGGGTACTAATTCCGCCCGGAGATTAGGAATTACACCCGGAACCCGGGAGAACATAGCGGAGTCCAAAGTTGTCCAAATTCTATGTCATGGACAGTGGACGTTAAACGTTTAATAGTCATCGTACTTGTGCGCACGCGCAAAATCTCAACGAGTAAAGGCTGGTAATTAGCAACTTACTGATTGGCTTAGACAAAATGTTTGCATTTCAATGAAAAACGTCAGCAATTTAATTGTCATTTTGCAAAATATTTTTGAAAAAAATGCTTCGTAAACAGAATATGAAATGTGGAGTCAAATAAAATGATACAAACACTGGGAAGAGATTAAAGTGCCTATATCACTTGTGGAATCTTTACGCATTTGAAAAGAGCTTGAGAAATTAGTTTATAAGTTCTACAACCTTTTTTGATATAATTAAATAGTTTCGAAAATACGTCGATTCGGGGGACTGGGACTCAGGAATGATTTGCAAACACGCCGTCTTTTATAATGTAAACATGAAGAGTTTCACTGGTGATATAGTTTGCGCTTTTCAAGAAAAAAATGCGGGAACGGTGCGTTGTGTATGGCTATAGCAACTGGGCGAGTTTTTCTCAAAATATTTTACGTTATTGGAAGTTCGAAGTAAAATTACAATTGATGATATTATCTTTGACAAGAACTCGGTTCCTGAGTCCCAGGCCCCCGAGCACGACGGAAATTTAGGCAAATCGTCATGTTTAGATGTAAATATTTCCGAAACTACTTAATTATATCAAAAAGGGTTGTGTAACTTATAAACTAATTTTTTAAGCTCTATTCAAATCCGTAAAGATCCCACAAGTGATATAGGCACTTTAAGATATTACTAGCGGTGTCTACTTTGTTTAATTTATTTCGTGTTTGCTGTACGAATGCATTTTGATGAGCTTGGTTATAGGAAGTCAAGTTTTCGTCAGTCGTGGCGCTCGCGCGTGTACGCGAGTCTACTCTGTCACAGTTAATTCGGTCTATTAATAGACCGAGTGGACTCGCGCGAGCGCCACGAGAAGATTTCATTGCTGACTTGGTGTATGTTGATATCTGGATAAATATGAATATTATACTAAATGATAGTAGTTCTCTGTCTGCAAACAGAATTTTAATTTGCAGGAAATTGAAAAAGCAGGCTTCTTGCAAATTCTAGAGGTTCAAATAAGTAAAACTGCAAATTAAGGCAGGTTCTATAAGGCAAATGCTAAAGGTTCATAGAGTCAAATACACCATTATTTTACGCCTAGCTAAATTTTTTTGGCATGCCCTAGAAGTATTAAGCACGATAAACATTTCTGAATCAATGTGAAAATTTACAACTTAATATGATCATATACTGTTCACATTTTATATAAGAATTGGTCTTCCAAAAGTATGCATTGCAAATATTGCAGTTGTGTTCCATAAGTAAACTGAAATTGGGGTATTATTATATAAGATAAATAACTATAAAAATTGGTTATTAATATAGGACTATAACATAACTTGTACATGTTGCTATTTTGTTTTATTAGTGACCTCGGTAGAATGCCTACAGTTACAACCTTTCAGACTGTTAAATTTCTCTCCAAATTCAGTGACACATTAATAAAAGTGCAAATATATACTAGACAGGTTTAGCTCGCGTTGCTAGAATTAGATGTTAATTGACTAGCAATATGACCTGCTAAAACGCAAAAAATTAATATCAAATATGTCACAACTCATCCTTTGAACATCTAATATTCATACAAGCAAAATTTGAGAAATTATGTACTGATAGTACGTAGTTTGCCTGCTTGCAAACAGAATTTTAATTTGCAAGAAATTGAAAAAACAGACTTCTTGCAAATTCTAGAAGTTCGAATAAGGCACGAGGTACGAATACCATACTTATGATTTATTTCAACATTTTTTAAGCGAATTTTGCAATATAGTAGAAATTAAAAATCAAATCCACCTTTCGGTTTTCTCTGCGGCCATTTTTTATCCACAAATACTGATTCAACGGTTTTGTTCACTTTGGTTGCATAAAAATGACATACGGATCGATTAGCTGCTGTTAAAGTTCGTCGTCCCTCATTGGTTGCGAGCAAAAAAACTAACCTAACAAACTTTTAAACCCGATAGCAATGTATCTGCAAAAATTACTGTATTCCTCAAAGTTTAGCCGTGTTCTCTCACTGGGTATATAATATAAAAGCAATAATTTTTATACGAATTTTTATCCAGATAATGATAAATTCTGCACAGTCCAGATTTTTTCTTTAACAACATGAAAAAACTGTTTGTCTGCATGAGTACAGGCAGTTTAAACATATGCGAAGCATATTACACAATAAGCCTCGTTTCCATGTTGCGCTAAGGCGTGGTTACTAAGTTTCGCAATTGGTCTATACACTCTTGAACCCAATAATATTCGATTGTGAAAACGTCGAGAATCTATTGAACTGGAGCTCGGTGAGCCAAACTATGACGAAGGAAACGTGGATTTTAAGTCTTTTTTTGCTCTTGTGTTTTATAGCAGACAACGGCGGATGTTGCGGAGACGGAGGCATAACTAAGAGAAGAAGATTCCGGTAATTCTTTTTATTTTCGTTAGGCAATTTCAAAACACACTTTTCTTAAGATGTTTTCGATATGATTATTGTGTTGTCGTTCTCACCTGTTCATAACATTCGGCCTGTTGATAACATTCCGTTCGGAAGCGAACGGCAACTGCGATCGTATTTTCCCTTGTGATGGTTTGCGGTTTCTATTGGTCGACCGCAACCGAACCGCGACCGAACCGCAACAGCAGTATAGCTGTAGATTTGAAAACCAACAAATTTCCCTACTTGAGCATTTGGTTTAATTTGAATTATCTAAAAATTTGAGATTTAAGAAGCCTTAGTCTGCATGAAATGCACGTTTTTGTTCCCACGAGTCAGGTTTTTGTGCGCACAATTTTCGTAACTACAACTTGGTAGAATGAAAATCCAAAACACTTTCACCCTTTGAATGGATTACATGATAAATGTGATTGAGCTGCGAAATAATTTTCCATTCTCATTTTTTACAGGCGGCAGTATCTCAACGCAGTCTGTGACTCGAATTGTTTCCTTTCGGATGGAGTCGTGAAGTTCTCTCAGACATGTTTGAGAATGTATTGCAAAAAAACAAACAATGGCTGCAAGGCTCTCTACCGTTATTGAGTCCGATGTTTCTACTGGTTGACGTTGATAACCGTCCATGATGATGAAAAACATAGCGACGAACAATTAATCTAGAAGAAAGATAGATCATTTCTACTGCTGTGGAAATTAGAATTATATTACTTTATTTCATTTTAACCGCCCTTCTTTTCAAATGTTTCATTATATATGAAAATACAAAGCGATAAAAACTACTGTAATAAAAGATTGCAAAATCGCTCGGAATTGAATACATGTCTCTCTCCCATGCAATATCCGAATCGTAGTTATCGTGTCTCTTATACCGTTGTGCTTGACTCGATTGTGAACTTCTCGCACGAGCAAATCGACCATTGTATTTTTCGAAGGTAGTATGATTGGATTCTTGCCTTCTAAGCGGGCTGTAGAGTTGTTTATCCTTCCCTTGTATCTAATTACTCGATCTTCATCAAAATAAAGGCCGAAATGACGCACACGTTCTGCCGGAAGTCCATTGCTCTTTCCTTTTAGGAACTGGATTTCCTTTGAGAATGATGTCGATTGAATTGATTTAAGCCATAACGACTCAGCTACGTCTAGCTCACTATGCTGTCAGTTCTCTCGCTGTTGATTCTGTATTTTCAATATCTCTCGGGTTGTTTGATGATAGTTTCCATTTCAACTTATCAACGAATCTCAAACTGTACGCTGTTAGTAGCAATAGCCGCGGAAGTCTGCTGAAGTGGTCAAAATATATAATTATTACGTCTAGTTTATCTTATTGGGCTCTTTGATTCTGCTAATGAGGGAGCGGACGATAACGGACGAGTTCTCAACGGTTTCCTTCATCACACTTTCATTCATCGAGCTGCCTGCTGGATTCTTCGGCCATTTATTTTTCAGGTAGACTGGACCCCCGCCACCACACTGGATTTGACACGAGATCGCTCGTTGACACCCCTACGTCGTATTGATTCCAAGGTTTGTCACGTGTGATCCAACAAAGAACGGCTCTTGAGTCTGTCCAATTGAACATATCAAGGTTTAGATTTGTTGAAAGACACTTTTGTACGGTATTGATTAATCGAGTGAGGATAGTAGCTCCCAGTAGTTCCAGTCGCGGAATTGTTTGTTTCTTTAGAGGCGCTACCTTAGTCTTGGATGTTACGAGTCTTACATCAATATTAGCCTGCTCCGCAGGTATCTCTTAATAAGTATTTATATTAGGAATTTATATTTGACTTGGGTTAGTTGTGTGATGAGAGCGAGAAAAAAGATGTGCGAGGATGCCTGCCCCGACACAGCTAACCCAAGCCAAATATAAATGCCTAATATAAATACATAGCTGCGGAGGAGCCTAGTCCCCTAAGCAGGTTTGCTCACGATTGTCCTTCAACGCGAAGGAGTGAAAGGAGTTCGAAAGGAGCGAAGCTTTGAAAATGTATTTTGCAATAAATGTTCTTCGCCGATTGCTAACAAAGATTATCGCAGTGTTGTAAAGGATGTGAAAAGGAGACAATCAGTGCTAGAAATTAGGGAAAATAACGCGCATAATATAAAGACACAGTTAGACAAACTTGCCGCGGATATTTGAAATAAGTATAAAAGGCTAAGATCCGAAAAAGAACCATACAAGGCACCGGTTATTTCCGTGGAAAGGACAGAACCTTCTTTCACGTTGGCACACGAAATAAGCGTAATTCGCACGTCAGGAGGAACCAAACGGAAAGGTATATATGTCAAGCTTAACTAAATTTAAATATACAGCGCATATAATTTGATGTTAATTGTGGCCGTGCACTATTTATTAAATTATTTAAACAATTAGTCGCCTCAGGCTCAGTGATTTATACAAGCCTATATTCAATGAGCCGATTACTTCTAGGCAATTTCTTGGCATCTACGCTCAGTGCTTACCATATGTGACTAATTTACTTAAATATTGTCTTAGTCAGACAAGAAGTTACCAGAATGCAAGGGAATGCACCATCAAAAGCAACTCTTTTAAAACTGAACTCTTTATTGTTATGACTTAAATTGTTATAATTATATGTGCGGAAATCTCTGTAAGTTCATGAAATTCTAACTTCTACATGTATCACATGTAGTGCAATCACATGCAATGCAAGTTTCATATATTTTTTTTATTCCCTCCCATTAGATCCTTCTGTTACTATAAAGGTGTTACTCTGAAGGAGCAGAATTTGAATTTGTTTAGTATTGACTGGATGTATCCTGAAACTAAGAAAGTATGTCAAAAAGGTCTGACCAGATATTACCTTGCATGATTTGCTTTTTATTATGCATGCCAGGTCCATCTGTTAGCCATTGTAGCAAATCATATAATTCTAAAATTTCAAGAGGTGCTTGTACTGTATAACATATATACATGCATATATATGACCAAATTTTTATTTGCTATTTAATTAATTAACTAGCAGGAGTGTTTTATTAAGTTTAAGGCCTGGTTTTCACTTCAACCATATCCTAGTTAAATATAGAGTATTCCTTTGTTGAAAGTCATTACAATAAGGTATGCAACGCTTAACTATGATTGGAAAACAGTCCTAATATTACCTTACCCCTTATGTTATTACAGGCACACTAAAGTTACAGTTGTTACTAACTTTAGTATTATTTTTATATAGAAAGTCATAATGTAGAAAGTGATGATATTCCACCTCTTACAACATCCCCAATAAAATGCTGCACTGACCCTGGTAGGACCTTTTTAGTGGTGGGGCGAAATGACAAAAGGGACCTTGCGTCATGATTGCATGTATATATTTATAAAGAGGTAAATCAATTATGATTTTTGGCAAGATTAACCACGCTTGCTCTTGTCAGTTCAGTGGCAAGAGCATTGCACCGGCATCGTAAAAGCTTAGATTCGATTCCTGCCTGAGGACCTATAGTTGACACATTTTTCCTTCAACTGCTTCAACTGTTCCTGGCTTGAATTTGAAGTGTGTATAATTCCACTCGAAATTAAAACCCTTAAAACCTCTAGAATATATATATATATATATATATATATATTATATTATATATATAATATATATATATTATATATAGACACATATATATAGACACAGATATATAGACATATATATATATATATATATATATATATATATATATATATATATATATATATATATAAATATATATATAATATATATAATTATATATATATATATATATATATATATATATATATATATATACACCCATTTGCAAAAACGTTGGCCGCAGATAGATAGATAGATAGATACTCGAAGTCTAATTAGAATTGCATATGATTACATTTGCATGGGATTTCAATCATATTACACAACATATGCAATTCTAATTAGATTTCGAGTATCTATCTATCTATCTATCTGCGGCCAACGTTTTTGCAAATGGGTGTATATATATATATATATATATATATATATATATATATATATATATATATATATATATATATATATATATATATATATATATATATATATATATATAGACACCCATTTGCAAAAGCGTTGGCTGCAGGTAAATAGATAGATAGGTACTCAAAACCTAATTAGAGTAGCATGTGTAATGAATGAAATCCTTCATCAAAGCAATCATATTGAATTGTTTTTATAGCGCTTGCTGGTCTAGTGGATTTCATTTAGGCTGCTTTTGCACGATCAAATATTCTTTGACAAATTTCTGATCTTGACGTGTGTGATTGAGCGTATTCCAGTACAAAACAATATGGTTGCTCATTAAAGCGAATTTTAAAATACATTCATAACTGTCTACTTCTTTACATACAACAGGAAACGAAATTTGTCAAAGGGAATTTTGTCGTGTGAAAGCAACTAAAAGGCAAATAATAGGATGGAATTCAGCATGTTCATTAACCGTGTATTTGTTAATCACCGATCCTTGTTTGTACAAAGTGCTTTTTGTGCATGACATCACTCCCCTTGCGATAGTAACTTCTAGTATCAATACTAGTAATTCCGTTCCCTCTTTTTTTCGTCAAAATCAGAAACCAGCTGAGATGAGCCAGTTAAGGTTAAGATTCATGTTGATGTTCATTTAAACAATACTCCTAGAAGTTCATAATTACTCCGGAGTTGAAAATTCGGCTCAGTTTGTTTTGTTTTGGTTTTTTTTTCGTCGTCGCAAGTGTGTTTCGCGCGAAATATACCAGTATTTGAAATGTGTATGTGACTGTATTTATCTACATCCCAGTTTTGTCTCCCAGGAGTTGTGGTGCACAGCTTTGGCTAATTTTCCGATGCGCGATGCGATTTCGCTCGCACGATACGGCAATTTCTCCAAGAGGAACAAGTAAACCGTTCTTTTGATGCTGTTCGATTAAGTTTAGATTGAATTAGGGTAAGAATATATTTAATACATGGATTCTGGTCCTATTTTAATAATATTACTGCTATTTCGCCGTTAAAAAAGATGTGGTCGTGTATGGGCGCGTTGACACGTCGTAGTTTGCACAGGATTGAAGATTGAATATAACTATATAAGCGCCAATTCCAAAGGCAAAGTGTAAGACAAAGGGAACGTATCATGCGGTTTATTTACACATTTGAACAATTGAACTTCTATACTTTTTAAAGTACGATGTGCTTCTGAATTTCGCGATCGAACAACATTTAGGTTCGCAAGGCATCTAAATGATTATGAACTGTATTGTTTATATTCAGCAGCTTTATATTGAAGACTGGCACGTGCGCGGACGCCGGAGTTAACGCCAGAATAGGCGTCTTGTTATAAACTATAGTCCTTTAATTTGCTATGTTAACTGTATATTTAAGCGTGGCTCGGTATTAGCATATATTTGAAATCGCCTGGCGTTGTTCAGTCATAATAACGGTCGATTATTGTATTGTTTATTTGTATCAAGTATCAACCACGATTTATTTTACGAATTGATGTCGACTAACAAGCTGATTTAATACGTATATTTCGGAGTTCCTTAAACAGCTATAATGCATAATTATGCTAGATCTAGGCAGTAGGCGCCTCTTTATGTTTATGTCAGACAGTACGACGTTTGTATAATCATGAGCAATGCCGCCAAACCAATAGGGCATTATAGCATTTTATATAACTGATAACACAATGAAACACGCAATTTGATTGGTTAGTAGGCGTGCATGATGATGCAATCCTGCAAGGGAAAGTTAACAATGCCGCACAAAGATTTACAAAGATTAACCTAC